TGTGTGTGTGTGTGTGTGTGTGTGTGTGTGTGTGTGTGTGTGAGAGAGAGAGAGAGAGAGAGAGAGAGAGACAGAGAGGGAGAGAGAGATAGAGATAGATAGATAGATAGATAGAGAGAGAGAGATAGAGAGAGAGAGAGAGAGAGAGAGAGAGAGAGAGAGAGAGAGGTTGGGAGGGTATACAGAGAGGGAAAGAGGCTTTCCACCCACCTAACTTAGTTCTCTCAGAAATGTAAGTTAAAATAAATGAAGAATAACTATTAGTATTAGTATTAGTATAAGTAATAAGTGTCCACTTCTGTTGTGGCGATGGTGGCCAACTGGTTATGTTCTTGGGACTCACAACCATATGGTCATGGGTTCAAATCCCATCATGGGTCCTACAATGTGTCTTTGCGAAAAACACTCTATGATTTAGAAACCGTTTACGGCACTTGCAACACAAAGTCATGTAAGTGCCGAAGAATAGAAGATGTGTTACAAGAAAAAAACATAAAAAAAAAAAAGGAGAGATAAGGATGACAGAAGTTTGATAGGAAAGAAGGAGCTAACCACACCAGAGCACCCGCCAACCACCCACGAAAGCACTTTATTACTATTACATGTAGTTTATACACGTTTTCTTCATTTCACCTAAGTGGGAATGGGTACCTGATTGTAGACAGAGAAAGATCTTGTAAGTTTGTTAGTGTTTGAGTGGGTGCAATCTGCAGCTTGCACTGTCCAGTTCCTGGGAAACCGAGAATGTTTTTAAGTTTTCCAGGTTCTTTAGGGTTGATTGTTGATAATACATGTAGTTGAAAAGCGTGTTGCACAGTATGGATATCTTACACGTGCCCTATATAAATGTGAAGCACGTTGACAAAATGAGTTACTACTTGGATTCAAGCCTTATGGAAATAGACGCATCACGCTTAGAGGTGAAGTTTTTACAATTTATAAGAATGAAATAATAAGACATGTTACAGTTAAAAAAGAATATGGCATCAACAGAAAATCTACAAATTTGGTCCTAGTGTCGATTTTTAAAGTTTCAGTCGAGGTTTTGCGGTGCTCGCAACTGCATAAGGTCATATGACGGCCAGAAGATTAGAGGTGTTACAAGAGAGTAACAAACATAAAATAAAAAGAAGAAGGGGAGATAAGGACGATAGATGTTTCATAGGAAAGAAGAAGCAAACCACACCAGAGCACCCGCCAACCACCCACGTGTCGGGTATGTATAGTATAAGGTTTTACGGCGCTCGCAACTGCTAAGGTCATATGAGCGCGCGAAACACAAGTTGTTCACTTTTGCAAAAGTTCACTTCACGACTGGTTAACTAATTTACTTTAAAATGCTAAAAAGTTAAAATATTTAAGTTCGGTGTAAATACATTTGTGATTTAAAACAACTCTTTTAAGTAACAATAAATTTTTAAAAATAATATCAAATTCACTCTACAACTCGCCATAAAGGCCAATGGCCTTTATAAAATTTAAAATTCTGCTGTCGGGTTTTTGGCCAACATCTCCGGATTGCGAGAAGTAACTCATTTTGTCAGCATGCTTCACACATGAATGTAATCACGTTATTATTTTTCCTATCACTATCACAGACACAATGAAAGTGTATAAGCAACTGTGTCATTTTCGTAACACATTATTATGTTGGCTTTAACTCAACAAGATTAAACCCGAAAACAGAAGTAGGCTACAGGGGAAACCTGATGACATAACAGGGATGGTGGGAGTAGAGAAAATGTCCTGTTATATCCGATCCCTGTGAAATCAGAAATGCAAGGAAAGTAAATATTTGTGGACCAATCCAGCTGTACTTGTTCATGGGTAGTTTCCCTTGCCATAAGTACCCAGGAACACAGGGGTTTTGGCACCAACTTTCTCCTTGCCTCCTTCAACCACATCAGAAGAGCTTGGTCGAGAGCATCTGCATCGGGTAGTCTCATCTTTCGATCCAGAGCAAACTTTGCATTGGAGTATGCTGCCACTATCTTCTCTTTATCCTTGATAATGGTGTGAATCGACCCTTGTGGAAAGTCAAACTGACAACAAATCTCTGCCAGTGGAGCTTGCTTTTTTTCAACAGCCTGGATTATTTCGTATTTTTTTGTCAATTGAAAAGCATTTTCTCTTGCGCTTGACATCGTTGGTGACACATTACGCGTCCGTGTTGCTACATGTGGGTTTCGGGCTAGATCGAGGTCTGCAGCACAACGCAGCCCTCTCTCGCTTCACACGCTGCGTGTGCTTGCAGTGGCATGGCTTGCTCCATCACTGCGTTACTCTATCTCTCTCTCTCTGACTTTTTACACATTGTTAACGAGCCTTTGTCCCTGCTATAACCGGATGGGCTTCGATGATACCCTGTTATTGCCGATAACTTTTATTAATAGAGACAAAAAGTAGGAAAAAACGGAGATTTAAAAAATCCGTTATTACCGGATCCCTGTTATTACCGGGCCTGTTATATATGGTTTCCACTGTAACTGAAAGAAAAAATTCTTCTATTTAAGCAACCTCTCTACACTAAAAAATCTGGTAGTCCTGCAGATTTTGGCTGTAGAAGACCCCACTGTAGTTTTAGCAAGAGTTTTTAGGTTTAGTAAGTGTTTTACGGCACTTGCAACGCAATAAGGTCTCATAAGTGCCGAAGATTAGAGGTGTTACAAGAGAGTAACAAACACAAAAAAGTAGGAGAGATACCGACGATAGATGTTTGATAGGAAAGAAGAAGTAAACCACACCAGAGCACCCGCCAACCCCTCCACTAAGGCATGTCATTAATGACCAACAACGAAAGTACCAGATCATAATACATTTATTTCCAGCGCTGCCTTCACAAAATGACAAAGTTACTGCAGATGAAATGACATGAGAGAGGATCAAAATTCAATGGCACAATGAAGACAACACTTACAATTAAAGTAACCCCACACATTGCTTATTTTTCCAGCAAAGTGGCGGGGAGAGAGAGTAAGCAAGACAGAGACTGACAGACAGGGAGAGAGAAAGACAGAGACTTATGCAGAGAGGAGAGAGAGAGAGAGAGAGAGGGGGGGGGAGGGAAGAGCAGGTAGGCAGGCAGACAGAAAGGTGTCAAAGGAAGGATAAAGACTTGTCCTCACCTCAAGTCTAAATGAAATGTAAAAACACTGAGATGTTTTGAGAAGACTTTTTCTTTTTAGTTTAAGGAAGAGTTTTACAGCACTTGAAACACAATAAGGTCATGTAAGTGCCGAAGAATAGAGGTGTTACAAGAGCCGAAGAATAGAGGTGTTACAAGAGCCGAAGAATAGAGGTGTTACAAGAGAGTAACATACACTAAAAAGGAGGAGAGATAAGGATGACAGATGTTTGATAGGGAAGAAGGAGGAAACCACACCAGAGCACCCACCAACCACCCAGTTTTTCTACTAAAGAAACAAAGACAACAACATAAATACACATGGGATAAAAATTATTGGACATATTACAGTTAGTTAATACATTTTTTTTAAACAACAATATAACTGGGCATAAGAAAGAGACTGTTTCAGTTCAAAACAAACACATTGATTAATAAAGGTCATCTTGTACTCCAGATGTATGTAGAGATAGGGATAATGTAAAGTAAATCATAAATTTGACAGATTCCGATAAATAGCAGACAAAGCGCGCGCGCGAGAGAGAGAGAGAGAAAGAAATGAGATAGAAAAAAGGGAGAGACAGACTGAGAGAAACGAGAGAGAGAGAGAGAGAGGGAGAGAGAGAGATATGCACACATGATGAGTAGTGGATACTTTAATAACAATTCTGTTTGTGGTAGGGTGTAAATAGTAATAGATGTATTTGTTAAGGAGAAAGTTGTTAAAATCATAGTTGCCACTCAGGAATTTTAAAAAGGAGGAAATTCACGCGAAGGCGGACGCGCGCTCTCCGAAGGCCGGAGTAAAACCAGTGGGATCCAGAGGCAATATATACAGGAAAATCTAGCCTACGGTTTTGGAAGGGAAAACTGTCATATTTGTTAACCATAGGCGACTGAATTAAAATGTACCCGGTATAAAAAAAAAACCCCAAACCCATAAAGGCAGTAAGTTGACTAACAAGCATTCAAGTCAATTTGACAGTTTGGACTTGTTGGTGACTAAAAACCCCGTGTTTTTTTGCCAGCTGGTGTCTCATAAAAAGGTTTCTTTCACGTTAAAATTGTACATCGATGTAGAGCAGTATTGGATCAAGGAGGAAGGCATTCCTGTACAATTGCGGTCCCGTTTGCACTTAGTGCCCCTGTAGATCTAAAATCTAGATATCTAAATATGTGTAGATCTAGATTATATCTAGAGATAGATTATCTAGATCTAGATTCACTTCCACAGCCACAATAGCCGTCATGTAAACAAACGGGACCGCAATTATACCATAGCTGCCACTCAGGAATTTAAAAAAAGGGGGAAATTCTCGTGAAGGCGGACGCGCGCTCTCCGAAGGCCGGAGTAAAACCAGGGAGATCCAGAGGCAATATATATACAGGAAAATCTAGCCTACAGTTTTGGAAGGGAAAACTGTCATATTTGTTAACCATAGGCGACTGAATAAAAATTTATTTTAAAAAACCCAAAAAACCCAAACCCATAAAGGCAGTAAGTTGACTAACAAGCATTCGAGTCAATTTGACAGTTTGGACTTGTCGGTGACTAAAATCCCAGTGTTTTTTTGCCAGCTGGTGTCTCATAAAAAGGTTTCTTTCATGTTAAAATTGTACATCGATGTAGAGCAGTATTGGATCAAGGAGGAAGACACTCCTGTACAATTGCGGTCCCATTTGCACTTAGTGCCCCTGTAGATCTAGTGTGTTTCTTATTTAGAGATCTAAACTGAATTAAAAATATAGCCTAGGCTATCTAATCTAGATCTAAAATCTAGATATCTAAATATGTGTAGATCTAGATTATATCTAGAGATAGATTATCTAGATCTAGATTCACTTCCACACCCACAATAGCCGTCATGTAAACAAACGGGACCGCAATAAAAATGAAACAACAACATGGACACGGAAAGACAGACAGAAAGATGTAGAGAAGAAAATAAACACTGAAGTGATGCAATACACAAAAAATATGTAGTAAATTTTTTTTTACAAATGATTATTTCTACAATAAAAAGGCTTCAGCGTCTGAACACAGCGATGATTGAATAGGAGTCACGAGCATTAAATGACCAATCCCATACTTGACGAAGCATGTTCACCCCCCCCCCCCGCGCAAACTCATGAAAGAGCTCAGCCTGACTTTCAATGTCCAGACATTTTCAGTAATAAGCCTGCTACATTTCAGACACCACGAATCAAGTAAACACAGATCAGACTAAGCACTGCTTGCATTTTCATTTTGAACAAAGAAAATAAAATTCTCATCTGTGCACATAAAATATGATTGAGCAGGAGAAATCTGTATTGAATCAAGACCTACATCTATGAACCCAATTTTTTCAACAAGAGTGACAGTTTTTCAGGTGCCACCTTGACTCTACAAGATTTCTGGAGCACCCTTGACAACCTTAACAAATGAATGTGAATCTCATATTCACAAAACAAGCTAGACTGTCATACAGCAACAAAAAAACCCAACTAGTTGGACCATCAGAAACTCCCAGAGTTTCAAAAACTATGTACAGAAGACACACTCCAATAAGTACGTCTCTCACAAATAATCATAACATGTCGATAATGAATGAACACAAATGCAACAAATGGTAAGCAGAGCTGCATAAATTGCATCATCACTTTTTCTGTTTTTTCCTCTGAACGTTCGTGGACTCGTTCTCTTTGTCCGAGGAGGAAGACAGCAAGGCTTTGTGGGACTGCAACTGCACGTGTCTGCTCACTGTGGAGACTCCATCAACAAACTTGGTGCGGAACAGGACGTTTGCGTTGTTGAACATGCCGTCCTTCAGAGACACGACGATGAACTGAAAGTAATAATAATAAATAATAGATGGCATTTGTATAGCGCACATTACCGCTCAAGAGCAAGCTCTTCTCAATCTATACTATTACCCCAGCAGACCTGAGAGCATTTTGAAACAGCCTTAACTTCCTGGGAAGCATACAGAGCAAGCAGCCATTTATAGGCGCTAAAACACTAACATACTGACAAGATCTTTCCCTGGCTGGGTACCCATTCCCACCTGGGTGAAGTGAGGAAAATTCGTGTAAAGTGCTTTTAAAGTACAAGAAAACAATTATTAAGCATGGTTGATTGATTGATTAGGAGGTTTTACACTCCCATTAAATTAATACTGATGGTCTACCTTGACCCTGGCAGTAAAGGCCAAACCCAGGCAAAGTGAAACCAATGATAGTACATAACAAGATGGGCCACTCAGCCAAAAAAGTGTCCGCAGGAAGTATGCTCTTTGCTTCAGATGGCGCTGCAGTCTGTTTTGAAGCTCTCTTTCGTTTTTCCAGAAGAAGAATAGGAATAGCACCTCCTTGCGTGCGCAGATCGACTGCTGTTCATCCCCAGTTCGGGTACGTTCAGTGCGTAGTTTTAGGTTTTTTTTATTTTAATGACCTCTCGCCTTTCATTCTAAAGTCAAATTAAACGAAGAAAACCATAACCCTTTCCTCCGGAAGAGGTTTTTTGTCAGCGTAACCATTTAAAAAAAGCGTTCTTCCGAAATTTATTCCAAAACATGCTAGTTTCACTTTGATTTTTTAAAACTCAAGTAGGGTAACTCTGTTCGCAAAGAGTGCGCTTTTGTGAAGAGGGCGCCACCAAATTTTGAGGACACTTTTTTAATTGGCTCAAAGAGAGAAGTGGCCCATCTTGTTATGTACTATCATTGGTGAAACATAACATTGAAACAGAGACAGGGAGGCGTTCGATAAAATATCTTCATTATCAAGGAAGCAATCTCACACCTTCAGGATTCTTTTAGTTTTAGTAAGGTTTTACGGCGCTCGGAACTGCATAAGGTCATATGAGCGCCAAGGGGTAGATGTAAACAGAGAAGTCCAAACAGGGAATCAGGCTTTGCTCACACATCTAGCTTCAACAGCACAAAGTCTGCTTCAACTATCAAGGCACCCCGGAAATAGAGCGTCACAAGAGTGTGACAAACATACAAAAGAAGTAGAGGAAAAATGACGATAGTAAGGATTAGGAAAGAAAAAGCAGCAGTTCCCTGTTGCAGTTCAGGCACAGATATGAGCATGACATCGATGAACCAGCCCACTTACAATTCTACTGTGCATAAGAACATATGTCTCCCCTTTGGGAATGGCCTAAAGACACTTCAGTGAGTAGCACTACCCTGGGTGGGGGGGTGTGTGTGTTTAAACGAGTGTTTGAAATGAGACTTGATCATTTGGAGACTAATAATACAAGATACTGTACAGAAAATGTACATTATATGAGGAAGGAAATGAGTGTAAAGATGGCCAACCTGTGAGTGTTTGAAATGAGACTTGATCATCTGGCCGATGTTTTGTGTGTGAGACAAATCTAAGGCTGCATCCACCTCGTCCAGGATGTAGATCGGAGCCGGCTTGAACAGCAACATGGCCAGGATGAGGGACAGGGCTACTAGAGACCTAAAGGGAAGCACAAAATTGAAAGAACAGTGAAAACAACAATCAACATTCTGGTCAAAGCAAAATGAAAGAACCCGAGAGAAAACACTAATCAACGTTCTGGTCATAGGACAATGAAAGAACAGTGAAAACAACAATCCTCTTTTTTTAGCAAGTATTTTACGGCACTTGCAACACAATAAGGTCATATAAGTCCGAAAATTAGAAGTGTTATAAGAGAGTAAAAAAAACACAAAAAAGAAGGAGGAGAGATGTGGACGAAAGATGTTTGATAGGAAATAAGAAGCAAACCACACCAGAGCACCCGCCAACCACCCACCACTAAAGAACGCTCTGGTAATAGGACAATAAAAGAAGTGAAAACAACAATCAATTTAACTCGTTCAGTGCTACAGACGAGAATACTCGCGAAACCTGGGCAATGCCCACGTACAATCGACAAGTATTCTCACATTTTGCCTCACTATCTTTATAGAAAGAATTGCTCTAACTAATCCATACCAAGTTATTTGAACTAATAATGATCACAGCAAAATCCCCAAAAACGACAGAGCAGACACCCTTGCCAAATTGGGAGCATCACAAACACAACCTCACAACCCAGTATCACAACAGACAGCCAAGAACATAATCAAATGCAACACCAGGGAACAGTGGCTGAATGGATGGGCAATGGGCAAAACTGGAAGAACTATTTGCACACATGACAGCCCCCAACTCAAAAGAGGCACTAAATTCCCTGAGTAGAAGAGAACAAGTCACAATCTTTCACCTGCGAACACAACACATCCCACTAAATTCCTACCTTGGTAGGACCCGCAAGGATACCCCACCCGACTGCTCGTTGTGCGACTGCCAGTATGAAACAGTACCACACCACCTCTTTACCTGCCATGCACTTTGCGACCTGTGTAGTACCTACCTACTTGCCTCCCCAGACATCGGAAATACTCTATACAGCGACAAACCACAGCTGATTAAAACCTGTAAATTCTTTGGCATAATGACAGGCTGAAGGGCTAGAACCCAAATGGCCGCTGGATCGGAAAAGTAAATAGTAACTAATAATGATGCATTATAGGAAAGGTCAAGGAGACATTTTTTCTGCTCGAACAGCCATTGAGCCCGCTAGTTTTGACTGATTTTCCTGAGTAGACCTAATTTCATATTGCCATAACAAAACTGTCCAGTACATGAGGGGAGTTCGCAGCTGGAGCGCTCAGCATTGAATGAGTTCATGATCAGGTTCTGGTCATAGCACTAATTATAACGACTAAAGACAAATAAGACAGCACTAAAATAGCACACAGAATCATATCTCGAATATAATGGGACAAAATTATTACCAACTCAGCAATGCTAGATGTGTCTAAAGTAGCAATCAGTACTGTTTGAAGTAAACAATTTATTGATCTGCATTAAAGTGTTCAGTGTGTGTGTATTTATTCAATCTGGAATTACATGGGACTTGGCTTTTTGCAAGGCCAGACTGTATGACGATCTATTACATTGAAAAAGTAAGATGACAAGACAGAGAGAATTGAATAAAGATCGTAGATAAAAAAGTTAAACATAGCACATGTCTTAACAAAAAGCACACCACTAAGCCTCACCTTTGCCCTCCACTGAGTTCACCAAGGGACTCCTTCCACACAGCCCCAAAACCGACCTTGACCTCCAGGCCATCCAGAACCGTCTGACCTTCAGGGGGACTCAGTTTCGCCTGAGTGCCTGGCAGCAGTGTAGAGAAGATGGAACCAAAGTCCTGCAACAAAATTCAGTTTGTGTCAAAAGTACTCGACAAAGAGAAATTCCAGAAAAGAAGATGCTTACACTCCGTGAAAAAAACATCTATATACAAAGAGTGATTATGAACTCTGAAATAATGTCTCTTTGTACTTTCTTTCCTTACCCCCTTACATGGGCTGAGAACTCTGCTTTTAACTCACTGATGCTGTATCCCGAGACATTCTCGGGACTGGCAGATTACCCTCTGACGCCGGTTCCAGTGACCCCTCACGGGACCAGCTTTATAATTTTTTCACACTTTTCATAATCCTGAGAGCGCCTCGCAAATCGTTGTCAGCGCAAGTGCATCCACTTCTTTTGTTTCGTGCAAAGTTTCGCGGAGGTAGGTGTAGAACTTTTTTTGTACAAACTTTTAGGGGATGTCACTCAGGATAGCTTACAAACATCAGTTCAAAGGAAAATGGCAGCCCCCATGCAGACTTTGAGAGAACATGTACGCAGCAAACCTAGCAACATTTTTGATGAATTCAATTAGTCTAGTTCGTCAGAAAGTGAACTTAGCGATCCTAATGATCCAGAATTTGTGCCTGAGAGTGATATTTCTGTTGGTAAAGGTGTATGTAGATCTGGTGTGAGTAAAGGGAAGGGGAATTTTATTTGTGACAAGTGTCCATCTAAAAGATTCTCAAGAAAACCAAAATTCATGTGCTTTTCACAAATTCATTTTAAAAAAAAGTATAAACGATACAGCATTCAAATTTGTTTCATTTGAAAGAACACACACGTCTCTTACTTATGTGAAAAGATCAGAGCAATTCGACAATTCTGAGTCAAGTTATGTTTTTTTTTGAAATACCTAAAAAGACCTCAGTCTTCAGGGGTTGTGCGCCTGGCGAGACCTCAGTCTCCAGTGGGGTATATGGTCAAGGTGAGTCTAAAAAGGCGTTAAGCATGACCCAGAATTGAATGAACAATTCTCATTGCCGTGACAGTTCCCATTCATGAAACAACAGCAAATGATCCGATAGGACTGATATTGATGCAGTCCAAGTGGAAATATCGGACCTGCTGCACCATCCACCAACAAACTTTGAAAAATCCCCCAAAAAACAACAAACTAACCAGTCACAACTTTGCAATCACTCTAAATGGCAAGGAGCAAGACAAAAAATAAAATCCCAATTTAAAATGACCAATGCAAAATGACCAAGAAAAAGCAAAAGAGCAAAAAAAAAAAAAAGAAAAAAGAAAGAAAGAGAGAGAGAGAGAGAGAGAGAGAGAGAGAGAGAAAGAAAGATCAAATCCTTAAATTACCTTATTCACTTGCTCCCATGCTTTGAGTAGTGCCTCTTTTTTCTTTTTATCCAGCTCCTCAATAACAGAAGCAATTTTAGCCTTGTCATTCAAAACCACCTTCCTCTTCTTCATCAGATCAGCATACTGTGAAAAAAAATACACAAGAGGTACAAAGTAAATAAATGCATAGGTCTGATTCTTTTTCTTTAGCATATTTGGTGAAATTTCAGTGTTCTTCTGGAAACAGCAACGTCTCCATCAAAGGCAAAAGTATTTGGTCCCTGAACACATGGGATTGTGCATAAAATCATTATGACATCTCACAAACAATATTTTTGACTATTGCAGCCCGGGGCAATTAAAGACAACTATCAATAAAATGCTTTCTACACATATGACTAGGACAATGCACTACTATTACAACAACAAAACAACCCCCCACCCCAAACAAAATAACAGTAAACTGATGGTTAAAAAGCTTTAAAACCATACTGCCCTGCACAAAAAAACAAAACAACCTTTGACCTTGCATCATCATTGTTATCATCATCACCGACCAAACAATTCCCCTTTTTCTTGTTTTGTTCTTCTTGAAACATAATAATTTGCACCATTTCAACACATTTTTACATAACCTACAAATATCGGCAACAAAATCAGGGCACATGGGGAAAAAACCCCTCAAAACCCTTTGACTTTTTGGTCATGAACTGAGACATGGATGACCTGCATTTTATGGTGACTATTACCACATTTTGTCAGTAACAGAGTTGAATGAAAATGAAGCTGAAAAGAAGCAGAGGGAGAACAACACAGCAAAGTGACAAGCATCCAGCCACTTACCTGCTCTTCGGCGGACCCCAACAAGTTCATTGCTCTCACGTTCACATTTTTAGACAATTTGTCCTTGGTCTCTGTCAGCTTCTGAATCCTCTTCTCAGCTTCTTTTGGATCTTGGGCCTTAAAGTCGTATATGGTGTTGGGTTGACCAAAATATTTTCTCTCATCCGCAATCCAGCTGTATTTCTCGAGCAGCGATTCCACCTTTGCGAAACCAAGAAACATTTTATCATAGGAAAAACAATCCAAATCCAAGTAAAGAACAAAAAAAAACAAACAACAAAATGCCCCCAACATTTTAGAACCAGTGTTATCTTTCTATACGTATTTGCTTTATCAACAGAATATACAGGGGGGCTCTCGTGGCCTAGAGGTTAAGGTGTTGCCTCTCATTCAAAGGCCCAGGGTTCGAATCCGGGTAGCGACCGAGAATTTTTCTCTCTCTAAAATTGTCTCCGTTCACCCTAGCAATGTTCTGTAGTCTGCTTTCGTCTCCTCTTTCTGCCCCCACCCCCTCATCTCCTTTGCCCCTTTCTCTGGGCTCCTGACTTTTTCTGCAGCCTTTCTACTGCTAATCCTTGGCTCTTTCTTACTGTTGTCTTTCAGCCACATCCCTGATCTTCTGGAAGGAAAGATCTACACCTAGCCTTCTCAGTCAGACAAGGGCGAAAACTCTCTGAGGGCCCGTGTGCAAGTTGCACACCTTAAAGATCCTCATGTGGTCTAAAATTGACAAGAGTAGGCTTAGGCCACCACCCGGGTCAAATTCAAAATTTCCTACCAACTGAAAAAGTTTAATGTGTCCTTCGCGCTCATATTACCGTATGCAGTTGTGAGTACCGTAACCTCCCCCAACAGAATATATAGCTACTCCAGAGACACACTTTCTGCAGTAGTCAGGCTTAGTAGGGCTTTCCCTGAGCTCACTGACATGAGAGTGCCAAGTGCCCCCCCCCCCCCCCATGTTGTCTTAGAACCTCACAATACTTTAGTTACCTCTGATAAACCCAAAACAACAGTGTTATAGGCCTGGTGGCAGGTCTATGAGCTTGGGTGTTACTGCAAGAACAAACATCCCATGAAATATGATGAAACCATGAATAAAAAACAGTGCAGTGATAGAGATAGCACTAAGTGACATTCCTTGTTTTAGTTTTTTAAAAGAGTTTTTACGGCACTCGCAGCTGCATAAGGTCATATGAGCGCCAAGGGGTGGATGTCAACAGAGAAGTCCTTACAGGGAATCAGGCTTACTCTGCTCACCTCTCTAGCTTCAACAGCACAGTCTGCTTCGACTATCAAGGCACCCCGGAAATAGCGGGTCACAAAAGTGACATACAAAAGAAGTAGAAAAAATAAATGACGATAGTAACGATTAGGAAAGAAAAAGCAGCAGTTTCCTGTTGCGGTTCAGGCACAGTTATGAGCATGACATTGATGAATCAGCCCATTTACATTACTATTGTGCATAAGAACAGGTTAATGTCCCCCTTTGGGAATGGCTCAAAGACATTTCAGTCAGTAGCACTAGTCAGTAGCACTACCGGGGGGGCGCGCAACAGATTAAAAAAAAAATTCCTTGTATACAACACCATACTATAAGCACTCATAGTAATAATTCAGAGATCAGAGTAAGGAATTATCTCTAATGAAGAAGGAAATTTTCCGTCAATGACAAAAATCCCAGGTAGCAAAATTTAAACAAAACCTTTGTGACAATATAAAAAATATCCGCAAAACTGTTCCAAAGTAGGGCAAACAGTTCCACTTACATATCTGCAAGTGTCCTTGGATTCTTTTTGAAATTTGGCAATTTTGTGCTCTACTTCTTGTATTCTGAGACCACTTTCATTGCTTTCTTTGTGCAGCTCTCGCTTTTGGGAATCATGAGCAGCAATGTCCTCATTGTAGGCCTTGAGGGTGGCTTTCTGTTTGTTCAGGGCGTCTTGAGCCTTCTGCACCTGGGCCTGTGAGAAGAAGGGGAGAGAAGTGTGGAAATGTCGACTCTTAGTTTTAGTTTTAGTAGAGGGTTTTACGGCGCTCGAAACTGCATAAGGTCATATGAGCGCCAGAAGATTAGAGATGTTACAAGAGAGTTACAAACATAAAAAAGAAGAAGGGGAGAAAAGGACGATAGATGTTTGATAGGAAAGAAGAAGCAAACCACACCACAGCACCCACCAACCACCCACAATGTCGATTTTGTGAATGAGGCTTTTTCTGCAAGACGTATAGATAATCCATTGTACTAAGGTATTGAGGAACTGAAAATGTACGCTACATTTACAAGAAAAATACACAAGAAACATGAAGTCAAATTTTTAAAATCTAATCCTTGAGAAGAAAAGATGAAACAAAACTCAGAAAAAACACAAGATAAGCAAAGAATAAAGAACGCTTTGCCTACTTTAAAAGATGCTGGATGGCTGTGTGTGGATAATAAAGCCCTACACGGAAAATCATGAAAGAGGCATTGTTCAGGATGTTGAAAAAATGTCTTACATCAACCCTCTGGCTCAGCATTTTCTTAATGTGGAAAAAAGGTGAACAGCGACAGAAGAAAAAGATTTACTTAGCCATTTGCACACAAGACAAACACTCTAAAGGTCTTAGCCTAAACATTTTTAGGAGAGAAAAAAAAAAAAGAAAAAGTAAGGGTTGAAGTACAATATTTCTTTATTTTTAGTAAGTTTTACGGCACTTGCAACACAATAAGGTTATATAAGTGCCAAAGATTAGAGGTGTTACAAGAGAGTAACAAACACAAAAAAGGAGGAGAGATCAGGACAATTGATGTCTGATAGGAAAGAAGGAGCAAACCACGCCAGAGCACCCGAAAAACCACCCACCAATATTTCTTAAACCTGCTTCATTAAAAGTAGATGACAAATAACCAGAAGACAATACCAAAGCTAAATGCAATTGAACCAATTTTCAAAAGACTTTCACATAAAAAAAAAAAAAAAATGATACCTTTGATGCTGCCACTTCTTCGTTCAAGTCTTTCAAGCCAGCATTGATGCTCTCAATAGAATCCCCCACAGCTACCAACTGTTCTTCATAGCTTTGCATCTCTTTCTGGAGAGTCTCAATTTCCAGTCTGATACTGTCAACTTCCTGAAAGCAACAAAAATATGTAAAAGGCATATCATTAACCAGACATTTGGCAGCTTCTTTATATTATTTAAACACTTTAAAAAAAATTAAAAAAGCAAAATGCCTGTTCTCTTAATGAAGAGAAAAGTAAAAGCTTGTTTCATTTTTTGGTTTTTTAAAAGTATTTTTTTAAATCTTACAAAAAGAGAAAATACTATTACTGTTTTAAAAAAAAGTCCAAATCTACATGGGAACCTTAAATTTTACAACCAACAACTGGGAAACTGTTAGTATGTTTGTCATTTGATTGTTCGTTTAGTCTTAGTAAAGTTTTAAGGCCATAGGAGCGCCAAGGGGTGGATGTCAAGAGAAAAGTCCAAACGATGAATCAGGCTTACTCTGCTCACCTCTCTAGCCTCAACAGCACAAAGTCAGCTTTGACTATCAAGGCACCCTGGAAATAGCAGTTCACAAGAGAGTGACAAACATACAAAAGAAGTAGAGGAAAAGTTACGATAGTATGGATGAGGAAAGAAAAAGCAGCAGTTCCCCTTATGTTCTTCCGTACCAGTATGAGCATGACATTTAATAAATTAGCCATTCAGCCCATTTACAACTCTACTCTGCATAAGAACATGTTAATATCCCCCTGTTGGGAAGCCTTTTGATTGTTCGAAATGAAAAACGTCCAAGACACATCACCACAATTAACATTCCCCTAGATCTTCCACAGAATGGAACATTTATTAAAATTTAAGTGACATTAATCACAAGACTGAATTACTTGTAAATGATCTTTAGACTTTGAAGCTGAAGCCTCCATTTTCTTTTTGGAGTCTGTCACTCTTTTATCAGCTTCTTTCAATTCTTTCTCTCGGAGGGCCGCAGCATTCTTCAGCTTGTCTTCCAAGTCTTTGACTTTCTGTTGGGCTTTCTTCTGGGTCTCCTGTGCTTCTTTCAGAATCTTGTTCTGCTCCTCTGAAAAGTGAAAAGTTTTTTTTCTGATTAATCCGGACAAGGAACACAAAATGGTAGCCCCAACACAAAAACAACCAGCCAATCTGAGATGCCACAAATAAAATAAAGCGCAATGAGTTCAAATAGGAGTAAATTGAATGTATACTGAATCATCCACTTTTTGTGACTTTTCTTTCCATCTCTGTACATTCTGTGTTCTGCTGATGTCGCAATGTATCATGAATGTGATGAAGTGCAAGTTGAAATTAAAAACAAAACCCCACAAAATACCAGTGGAACAACCTAAAGTAAGAATGTGTACAGAGACGTTTGAATGGCTGCTCAGGATTGAGCTGCCTGAAAAAGAGTAGCAGATATCATACACAGGGTTTTCACAATCTTTTTTAACATTTTATGTAAAATGTTCTTATTTGTTGAATCAAATGTACAAGCACAGAAAACGTGACGAGTTTTTTAGCATTCAAATTTTGGAAGAACGCCTTTTAAGAATGGTTATGCTCACAAAACGTATTTTTCTCTCGAAACGGCTGTAAGAAAAGGGTGTTTTGTCAGCTTACGGCAGAGTAAACATCGCTCTAAGGCACTGACCCACAGAAGCCTTGAGGGCGTTGACCTCCTCCAGCTGCTGGTGGTGACTGCTCTGCTCCAGCCTCACTTTCAACTGTTCCACCTCCTGAACCTTCAGGTCGTACTGCTGCTTCGCTTCAGTGTACCTGTTTTAATTTCAACAGAGGTTTTACGGCGCTAGCAATTGCATAAGGTCACATGAGCGCCAAGGGGTGGATGTCAACAGAGAAGTCCTCACAGGGAATCGGGCTTACTCCGCTCACCTCTCTAGCTTCAACAGCAAAGTCTGTACCGAATATCAAGGCCGCCGGAAATAGCGGGGCACACGAGTGTGACAAACATACAAAAGAAGCATAGAGGCAAAATGACGATATAAGGATGAGGAAAGAAAAAGCAGTAGTTCCCCCCCTATGTTGTTCTGGCACAGTATGAGCATGACAATTTTACTGAGCAAAAGAACATGTTAATATCCCACCTTTGGGAATGGCCACTTCAGTCAGTAGCACTGCCCCAGTGGGTATGTGCACCTGTATGGTTTGTTTGAGTATAGAGATTGGAAAGAAGGAGCAAACCACACCAGAGCACCCGTCAACAACCCACTTGGCATTAAGAAAAAGCAAATATTTTTCAAGTGTTTGACGACTTTGTTCAGAAAATTCAGATTATGACATTTTAGACCATAAGGATCCTGTTTCAAACTAAATGAGTACCAAAGCACTGATTCTGATAGAGAGTGTTCTAGAACTAGACTAGGCTTTCAAATGCAAAATTCCGCTTTGTCTGGAGACCTGTTTTTTTCATACTGAAGTGGATAAGATAGGTAATACATAAGGATTAACATATTGATTACCTGCCTATTCATGAGTTTGGACATTTTATTCATTTTGAAATACAAAAAAAGACACAGACTTGTAAGGTTAATTTTAGGGGTTTTATGGGTCTTTTTCAGACAAGACATTACGCCAAAATTTTTTTGCGAGCAACAAATTAGAGCACATTTTCAGAAAATCATTTCTAAAAAAGTGTATAAGATACTGTCTTTCTGTTTTTTGTGTCATATCGGGCATGTTTAGATCTGTTATGTGTGTAAAAATGGGGGTTGTGTGTCGTTGGGAAGGGTGTTGTTTGAAAGGTTGAAATACCCCCAAAAATGCCAGTCTTCAGCGCATGTAGACCCGAAAAAGGCCCAGTCTCCTGTGAGTTAGTGCTTTTCTGTAAATTCCACATCAAAATGTTTTCCAACTGGACATGAAAGGTGTTGAGGTTTAACCCCCCCCCCCCAAAATCCAATAAAATATACCAATGGGCGAGAAAATGCTGGTTTCTTCGATTTCAATTTTTTTAAAATACGAAAGCATGATTTCATATGATGTCTCACATATATACATTCAATAAAGATCATTCAGAACAGGAAAAATGAAAGACAGACAAGCGTATAAAAGGTTAAAGGAAAAAAAAAAAAGAGGGTGATATTAGTAGTGCCCTCCTTCCATCCACCCCTATATCTGTATCAGACGCACCAAAAAAACAAAACAAACAAAAATTGTTATTACAATACACTAAAACCAGCATATAAACAGTTATCAAAACTTCCACAAACTTGAAACCAAAACATCATATGAATAAACGTAAAACAGTTTTTACTCTAATCTTGCAGGTAAACAGCCAAATGAACACAAGGTACACATTTTCATAAAACGAAGTAAGTCACTCACTTGTTGGCCACTTTCTGCACCTCCTTCATCTCTCTGTCCAGCTGTTCTAGCTCCCCAGACTTTGTGGACACAAATTCTTCCAGGCCTCGAAGCTCCTGTAGCATTGCAAGCACAGACGCCGAATGAGCTCTTGCTCCTGGAGAAAACATGAAATGCAGTCAGTTTATACAGAGGCCCAGGGCAGGACAAAAGTGGGCACATAAGTTACAGGTTTTTAAAGTTTTAGTAAGCGTTTTACGGCACTTGCAACACAATAAGATCATATAAGTGCCGAAGATTAGAAGTGTTCATAGCTGCCACTCAGGAATTTCAAAAAAGGAAGAAATTCACACGAAGGCGTGCGCGCGCTCTCCGAAGGCCTGAGTAAAACCAGTGAGACCCAGAGGCATTAAATTGGAACATCTATGTTTCTGGAAGGGAAAACTGTCACATTTATTGTTAACTATAGGCTACTGAATAATAACCCCCCCCCCCCAAAAAAAAAAAACCCCCAAGCAATCCAAGACATTAAGTTGACTAACAAGCATTTGACCCAGTTTGGAGACTAAAAATCCAGTGTTTGCAAGCTAGTGTCTCATAAAAAGATTTCTTTCACTTTAGACTTGAGCAACAATGTAGTGCAGTATTGGATTAAGGAGGCAACACCTTTGCCACTGTACTACAAGTTTGCCTTTCTTGTTAATTGTTTACTTTCTCACATTTTTAAAATTCCGGGGGAGGACTTCCGTAGTGAGTGACCACTCTGAACTCTTCGAATATTATACTCAATGGCCATCAAAATCAGTTTGGAAGGCCTAAAGCCAGTATGTTACAAGATATCTACCACTAAAAATGATGAAATTGCCGTGGTTTACGTATTCTTAACTCCAGCGCAAAGTTTTGAATATTTAGTCGGGGATGCATAGTTTCGTCTAGATCTAGGCGCAGCCGGAATTAAACAAGAGAAAGTAAACAATCGCCTTCTTACTTTATCGCACCAAACGCAAAGTGCAGCACCCGGTTTGTTAAATTTTCAAATGAAATTTTGAAGTCGCACACTGTCTGCCTCTTTCTCAATCCAGCTCCATTTACTTTTGCATTCTGCATCAATTTCTCTTGAATTTCCGCCGTTTTCAATGACAACTCGGCGCGCCATCGTCCCGATGCTCGATCGACAGTAGACACTGTCGCTCCACAACAATAAACAATGTGAAACTACGCACAAAACGGAAGTAGGAATCTACTGTCGGACATGCGCAAGCCGCTTTTTCGTCTCACTCCGTGTTCGGTGTTTTCCGTGTGTAAACAAAGTATTGCAATTTGCGACCGAGAGCGTTCCAGCGGAGGAAGGAGGAAAGAAGCGGGAAAAGCTAGATGAAGCGGAGTTTCCACTATTTAGCGGGAAAGTGGCAGTTCGTTACAAGTGAGTAACAAACACAAAAAAGTAGGAGAGATAAGGACGATAGATGTTTGATAGTAAAGAAAGACCAAACCACTCCAGAGAGAGAGAGAGAGAGAGAGAGAGAGAGAGAGAGAGAG